GGGACGACGTAGCCCGGCAGGAGCCAGGACAGGCAGAGCTGGCGGGACTCTGTGGGCCCGCTTGGAGCCGGGTCCTGCGGTCGGGAGCTGCCCAGTGTCCCCCTCACCCGGCTTGTCCCCTCTTTACCTGCCCTGCTGCGAGGGTCTCTTGAAAAACTTGTGTCAGGAGACGAGACAGGCAGACAGACAGGCGGACAGGAGGTGTGTCTGTCCCGAGTGGGGATAATTATTCCCGTAAAGTTCTGCATTTCTTCCCATTGGCATTCAGAAGGCTCAGCGGTTCTGCCGGCGCTAGAGAACTGCGGTATCCGAGCAGTTGTCACTGCAACAGAAGCTCTGAAGGGAGGAACAAAGCCATGTTTTCCTTAAAATAGAGCATTTTGCAGAAGCTGCAAGGTTCTGCTTCAGCCTGGTGAAAAGCTGGTTCCACCCCCCCTCTATGAGCAATGAAACGGTCTCTGGTTTTTCTGTGTCTTAACTGTGACGAGCTGTCGGTGCTCGCCGTGCAGGGAAGGAGAGGTCAGAGCTGGGATGGGCAAACCACCAGTTGAAAAGGGGTTTGTGTGTGGAGGGAGGCCTGGGCAGAGGCTGGAGCAGGATAAGAGGCGGGAAGGGAGGGGAAGCGGCTCGGAATGGCACCGAAGCTTCCCGAGCCCTGGTCTGCAGCCACCGTGTCTCCTCCGTGGACATTTTTAGAGTGTCCACCTGGGGGGGGGGAGGTGTCTGGAGGGGAGCAGCAGAAGGACCCTGCAGCAGGGGGTGGCTCAGATGCGGAAGAGCTCGAGGCTCTGAGCAGAGATGAACCCAAAGGGCCGGTCCCGAGACGGAGCCTCCAGACTGGGAGGTGCCGGCACTCCCAGCCGGATGGGGCGGCTGCAGGAGCGGGAGCCAGGCCCCTGCTGGGCTCTACCCATCTCCTGGCTCCCTCCAAACCGGTCAGAAAGGAGCCAGTGATGGGCATCACCCAAGTGGTCCCTGAAACCAGAGCAACCAGAGCTCGTAGGGGCCTGTGGAGGGGGTGCCATCCCAGGCTGGTCTCCCTGCAGCCGGAGCCAAGCCCGTCGCTGGCTGCAGATGCCGTTATGGGGAGAGTGTAATAAAGAATGGCTGACTGGCTTTTAGAAAAGTGCTGCTGACCAGCCTTTAGAGCTAGGGAGGGAGGCTGGTTTGTACTAACCCGTAGGCACAGATCCATTGTGGACTAATAAACACTTTAAAGATAAGAACGAAGCAGAATCCACCCAGCGAAGGGCACCCGGTGGGATCCTCCAGTCAGACCGTGGGGCTCAAGGGACACAAAAGACTGAGCAGGAGAGACAGGGAGGGCAGCGAGCGAGAGCTGGTCTTGCAGTTTGGAAAAGCCCCAGGATGGTTCAGGGCATCCACCACAGGACAAGTTCAAAAGTTCAACCCTGAGGAAGACTCGGACTTTCATCCCCAACGACCACCAAGGACCCCCGAGGGGGGGGTGACTTGGGCGGACTGAGGCAGGACTATGGGAGGAACTTCTGTTAATGAAATAATTAGAATAACCCAACCTTTTCTTAGGAATGTAATGAATAAACATGAAAGCTGTAAATATAAGGCAAGAATCCCAACGCTTGGGCGCGCAGGGATGGAAGGAGCCATCCCCCGGGCTGCCCGGCGCCGCAATAGAGAATCCCTGCTGGATAACCCGGAGTTGTTAGCGAGTTTTCTCGGCTTCAAGAGTGGAAACGGAACTGCCTGCTTTGCTTTCATGTCCTTGTTAACAGACTGAGTTACAGAAGTTATGTGGGGTTTTGCTCCGATCTCTCCATCATTCCGTTGGGGACAGCACCAGCGCTCCAGGGCACCCTTGCCAACCCCGGCGGCTCCCTGCTTTCCCTAACTCTGGTGTTTTTCTCGTTGCAGTTACAGACAAGTTCACCGAGAGCATGTACGTGCTGGCCAACGAGCCCTCCGTGGCCCTGTACCGGCTGCAGGAGCACGTGCGGCGATCCCTGCCGGAGCTGGCGCAGCACAAGGTGAGCCGCGCTTCCCTCCGGACGCCGGAGCCGCCCCACACCTCGGGCACGAAAAGATATTTTCCTGCCTTGGCCCTTCGTCCCCATTTCACCTCCCTTAGGGGGTGGCAAGGAGGGAGGAGATCAGCCATCGGGGCGTGCGGTGCTGCGGGACCCCGGCTCTGGACCGGAGGGGACGAGGGGACGTCACAGATTTACCTGAGGAAGAAAAACTTGAGTCCAGGCGCGGTGCTGTGCTCCCATGGCTGGACTTGGGCGTGCAGACAGAGCGAAACGAGGGGTCTGGTTTGTGCAGGGAGGAGGGAGACATTCAATCTTCCTCCCCCCGGCCTCCCGGTGAGGGTTTTATCTCCTCCATAAAGCCAGGGGAAGGGCGAGAGCGGGGAAGGGGGAGCCTGAAGAGCCCACGTGAGGCCAAGCGGGATAATGGATCACCTCTCCCAGCTGTGCTCCTGCCTTTCCTCCGGAGCACGGACGCTTTAGTGCCAGCCTTGTTGTCCTTCTCCCGCTCCTGCCAGTCATGATTCATTAGGAGGGACGTCTCGTGAATAGATTACTGCTGCATGGCTATGCTAATGCGCTGTCAGGCCCCATTTTTCACCTTTGCTTTACAGCCCTGGTTGCCAAATGAACCTGGATTGTGACATTTTATTATTTGATTATTTATTAGCGTTTTATATACGTGTCCGCGTGCAGTGCTCGGTGTATGGGGGGGACACACACACACGTGTAGCACACGCGGGTGTGATCACATTGCTGGCGTGCAGGGGGGCAGGTTTGTGAGGTGATCCCCGAGCTGTCACTTCCTTTCGTTTCATCGAGCTGGTCCCAGTTTCATCGAGCTGGTCCCAGTTTCATCGAGCTGGCCCCAGTTTCAGGGAACGTGTCGTGAACAGGAGGAAATGGAACCAATTGTCCGACACGTGGCGCAGAGGGAAGAGATCCGTTTCCGTCAGGGAGCGCTGCGTGACGAGGGCGAGGGAAGCGCTGCTGGAAGCGACAGCTGCGGGAAGGCGCCGGACACGGAGGGTGGTGTGAGGCAGCGGGGTTTGTGCCGGGCAAGGTCTCTGAAAACCTGAAATTCTCTCGTTTTCCCTGCTCGGCGTGCGCGTGACCGTGTCCCGCAGCGTTCTGTGACCTCTCTGGCTCGTCTAAGTTCCTTTCCTCGCTGCAGCCATCCCAGGAGTCTCTTTTGTAGCCAAAATTGTGGCTGTTTTCCACTTTCTTCCTGGGAGGAAGGAGGTCGTGCTGTCCCGTGGGTGCCAGCAGCAATTACAAGGACCCTGCGTGTCCCCCCCTGTGTGACCTCAGCCATCACAGGCATCAGACACCTTTGGTCTTTCATGCCTTCATGTCCAGCCTCGCAGCCTCCCTCCTGCCCTGGCTGCTAGCCCCAGCTGGGCCAGCGGTGGCCTTTGTACACCAGGAAGAGCTCGTCGTGCTCCCTGCAGCGCACGCCGGCCCGTGGGGTGCCCGGTGCCCTGGGGTGCTGCCCCGGTGCCACCCCAGCACCCCTCTGGCGTTAGCAAACGTTTCCCCATGCTTGCTCGGCGGTGCTGCCAGTCACATCCATTTCTTTTTGCCCGCTGCATGGGCACTCCCAGCTTCTTAACTGGTTTCCTGGTTGCTGGCTGTGTGTTTAATGGTGCAGTGATGTGGCCAGAGCTGGGAGAAAACGGAAGGAAAATCATTTGTGGCAGCTGGAACACGGGCAGATGCAGAGCTGCTGCTAGGGACTTCTCTTCCAGCCTCCTCAGTTCCTGAGTTTGGTTTTTTCCACGGCTGCAGCATGGTGTTTGGGAGCGTGCTCTCCTCCCTGCTGGTAACCAGTCCCTGTCAGGAACTGGGAGGGCTAAACATAACTCGGGCCAGTGCCCTGACTGTGCTGCCGGGCTGCTGGTAATGGGCTGGTGACCAGGTTCTCTCCCTTATCCTTCATCCCACTCCCATTTTATCCCAGTTCCAGGCGTTGCTGTTGGCAGCCCGTGAGCCCAGGCAGCCAAACCCCAGGCGAGAGGGATGTGCCCGGGGCCCTGACGGGGCCACCGTCCCCGTGGGGTGTTCAGTTAGGCGGGGGTGGAGATTTTGGGTTGCTCTGCCAGAGCCCCTTGGCTTTGTGGCCAGAGCCTGGAACGGGAGCGTGTCAGCAGGGCTGTGCAGCGTGCAAACGCTGTCAGGTTTTGTCTAAATCAGAGCAAAGGCACTAAAGTGAGGTGGGAAAAGAATAGAAATATTCTTTCGGAGTAGAAAAGAAGGAAAAGGACCGTTCTGTGTGGATCCGCTGGCAGGTGAATCTAATCCCGGGGTGTAAGTCATGTGCAAAGGAAACAGGATTTATTGGTGGGTTCCAGCTTTCCTTCAGCCGCGCAGCAGCTCCGTCTCAGGCTGGCTGAGTTCTCCCGAGACGCAGCCTTTGGAATTCCCAGAGGGTTTAAACCTCAGAAAAATGGGGAGGGAGGGGGCTGGGAGAAAAGTTTCAGCGAGGAGAAGGTCACCTCCGTGCCTTTACAACGAGCAGCTTTCTGTGATTGGATGGAACGGCCACCTTAATCCCTTCCTCAGCATCTCAAACTCTCCGAGCAGCAGATTTACCACCCCCGGTGCAAGGCCCTCGCCGCCTCCACGCGTCGTAGCTGCGCTGCTGAGCCCGGATTTCGCCCGGTCTGTTGAGAAGTTACATCTCCTCATTAATTTACTTCCAAGCAGCAGGATTCATTAGTGCTGTTGTGTATTAATAGCTTTAGCTCTTAAACTGCATCCAAGGGCCTGTCCTGGGAATCTGAAGAAAGGATATCAAGAAAAGATTAAGAAGTGAGGAGCTCTAGGGAGCTGCATCTAAGGGCTTGTCCTGGGAATTTGAAGAAAGGACATCAAGAAAAGATTAAGAAGTGAGGGAAAGGCTCTTGTTCCTAATTAAGGACATGAAAATCCCAGGAAGTGGTGGGGATGCTGGGAACAGGCACCGCTGGCTCTGATACCGGGAAATGATTCCAATCTCTCCGTGCTCGGGAACGGCAGGACCACAGGCAAGTGGCTGTGACACGTAGGGCCGAGCCAGCGCGGTGTCGGGGGCTGAATTGTTGTTAAAGATCATCGGGGAGAGCAGGGCGAGGAGCTGCCGGCAGGTTTCGGCGTCTTTCGCAGCTGCCTCCGCCGGCCAAGCGTGACCCCGGCGGCAGAGACAGCCGGGTAAAACGCCACTGGGCTCTGGGACGAGCGCGGTCTCGGTGGGGTTGCGAGTCCTGGGCCTCAGGACTCTCTCCTGCAGAGAACTGCCTGGGGTGTTGCGTGTAGAGGCTTGTTTCTTTTGTACTTTAAAGCTATGCAGTCAGGCAGCCTGATGTAGGGCAGGCTTTGAACAGCACAAGTGATTTTGGATGCAGTCCAAGCTCCTGCCCGACCTCCTTCGCTCACAGAAAGAGGCCCTTGGATTTCCTCTGGCTTGTAACGAGACTCAGCAGAATGGACTGGAAAATTAGCTCCCACGAGAATGGATTTTAAAGAGGGCCCGGACTACTTAAGGACTTTGGAAGTAGTTATCTATTGAGCTACGCCGCTGAATTCGGCCGCGCTCTCGCTGTGGGTTGTGTATTTGTTTGGTTTTCCCTTTCCTTGGAGCTACAGCGGCCAATTACATCCCGTGCCGGAGCCGGCTGCGTGCGGTGCTGCTGGGGTCGGTGTGGAGTTGACAGGGCCCCTTCCAAGCTCGTGAAAGGGAAGGGCATCACGCTGGCTGCGGCTTGGGATCAGACAGCAGAGTTTCAGAGCAGACGGGGGGGGCCGGGGACGCTTGTGGGTACGAAAACGTTTGTGACTGGCAGGTCTAATGAAACGAGCGCTGGCAGGGCTGTCACAGAAACCGCTACCTGGGTTTGCCTGAAGGGCTGAGGAGCAGGCTCGGCAGGAGCTGTGTTATTTCACATCCCGGCTGCCTTCTGGGCCAGACACACCAGGAGATCAGGGTACTCTGAAACAACCAGCGCGGTTGCTGGCAGCCGCCTGGCTGACCCTGCCTCTCAGCTGCCTCGTGGGCTACAACATCTAAAGCCAAGGGAAGTTTTGCCAGAATATCCAAAATGCTGGTGCGTGGCACCCGGAGCCTGGAGCGTGTCGCAGGGCTGTCAAGTGGGAGACAGAATCCAGACACATTTTCCAGCGAAAAGCAGCCTTGGTTGGGCAGGGCTGGCAGAGCGTGGCGCTGCGGCTGGCCGGCACGGGCCTAACGCCGCCTTCCCTTCCCTTCCCTCCCTTCTCTTCTCTTGCAGTCCGACATGCAGAGCTGGGAGGAGCAGAGCCAAGGAGCAATCTACACGGTGGAGTACGCCTGCAGGTGAGGGAGGCTCCTCCGAGCAGGAGGGGCGTGTTGGCAGGCGGAGGGTGGGGGTGGAAACCAGCAGAAGGCGCCTGCACTTCCCTGACGCCTCCCTGGTGTCAGCCCGGGAGAGAGTGTGGTCGGGGTGAGGGTGTGAAGCACCCTCATGGCC